TAGTTACAAAGTTTATAAGAATAATTGTAACAAATAATAATGTCTATTCTAAAAGAATCAATTTGTATAGAAAAGTTAACAGATGAAAATTATTCAGTGTGGAAATTTAAAATAGAACAACTTCTAATAAAAAAAAGGTTTAGATGATGTTGTATTCGAAGAAAAACCGGAAACTGTTACTGATATTTGGTTAAAGAATGATCGTAAAGCTAAAGTTTTAATATGTTAAACATTTCGGATTCGCAAATTATACATGTTTTGCACAGTAAATCTGCAAAAGAAGTTTGGCAGAAGTTAAAATGTGTCCATGAATGTGTAAGTTTAACAAAAAAGTTATTTCTTCTTAGAAAACTATATTCCATTAGATATAATGAAAGTTCTAAAATGCAGGAACATATCAAAGGAGTAGAATTGGCTGAAAAGCTGCATAGTATAGGTAAAGAAATTAAAGAAAATAAATTAACTATTAAATTACTATGTTCTTTTACCAAATTCATACAACCCCTTAATAACTGCAATAGAAATTAAATCGGAAGCTGAATTGTCGCTAGAATATGTTAAAAACAAACTAATAGATGAGTATTTTAGACGTGTGGAAACTAAGAAAGTTCAAAAATACGATTCAGTTGCTTTAAAAAGTAAAAGCGAAAATAAATCAAAATATGTTACACAATATTATACTTATTGTAAGAGAAATAACCATACGATAAATGACTGTTTTCATTTAAAACACAACGTTAGAACTTCCCCGAAAACAGATGTAAGAAACAGTAAAGTAAGAAATTATTCTCAAAATTATAAAAGTAATGCATGCCAAATAGCAAATACGCAAAGTGTACAAAACATAACAAAACTTAAAGAAAATAAGTATCTTAAAAGTATTGAAACTGAAAATTCGCAGATTCAGTTTAATCAAGTTCTAAAAGTGAAAAATAAACATGAAAACACGCAAACGCAAGAATGGGTTATCGTCTCAGGAGCCTCAACTCATATGACGAGTGATAAGAATTTTTTCTCTCAGTTAAATGTCTCTTGTTAAATGTTAAATGTCTTGAAGAATTGGCTCAATTCCAAAACATGTGTGGAATGTTATACGATGTTGCCATTCAAGCGCTGCAAAATTTTTCTATTACAGTTGTTGCCAGACTTATTCTCGATGTACGCGAGAGGCACAACATTCTCCCACCCTGATTTTCTCAAAATCAGACATTACACAAAATGTTCTAACATTACAAATAAAACAAAACAATACTAATGCATTAGGTTAGGAAAAATAAAAAAAAAACTTAGTTAACATACAATATATATGATAGAGCATACTAAAATGACATCAATAAAGAATAAACTTCAAGCAATTGCAGTCATTTCTAAACAAAAAAGGATATAAGTCCAAAACGTCTATATTGTACATTATTTTGAGACTATATCCTTGGTTTAAAGAGTCTACCATATCTAGGTCTGTTTTCAGTTGTCAGATTTAGCTCAGGATCACTGGCAGTTGAAATTTCTAGTGGATATAGTTTTTTGATTGGTCTTACCAAATATCCACTGCTTGCTTTTACCTTGCATGCCCACTTGTATCACCACTCTTGTATCCCCAACTCTACTATTGAATATTTTTACAATTTTGCCCATTGGCTACATTACACGTTTTTTATTGTCTAGTTCTAAGAGGATCACGTCCTCCCACCTTTAAATTTTGACATGAAACGCTGGCCTTCTGCACCAGTTGAGAAAGATATTCCTTGCGGAAGCGACTTCTCAGTTCTTGTCTCAACGTATTGCAGTAATTTGCACGCACATTGAGTTTCTGAAAATCGATGTAATCCAGATCTGGTTCCTCCGCTTCTTTTATGTCTTTCAAAAACATGGCAGCCGTAGGGGGGGGATGAATTTCCCTTTTAATAGAAAACACTCGTTTCCTGTGATTTTTATCCAATCCAGGCATCTCAGAGCATTGTGAGTTCCGTTAAAATTGGTTCCGTTATCTGAATACACTGTGGCAGGACGGCCTCATCTGGCAATGAACCGTCTCAGAGCCCGTAGAAACGTTTCTGTACTCAGAGAGGTGAATTGCCCGGTATACGGCGCAATGAACAAGACGATCCAAGTTTTACCCTTTGGTCTCAGAAGTAAAGGTCCACAAAGATCGACGACAAATTTTGTTTGAAGTTGTTTCAAAGACTGCCGAATATCTTACTCTGTCAAGGGGTAACTGGATCGGAGGGGTGGATAAAGCCTTAGCGGTAAATCTCCTACATAATACACATGGCTTACGCAAAATCTTATATTACGTTTGGACGAAATGATCCAGTATCGCTCTCTTATCAAATGTGTCATGTGCTGTAAAAAGTTTCCAGTGTTGTAAAATTTAACAAGTGTTTCTGAAATATTGGCATGTAAAAGTATAAAGTTAGTCTGAAGTGTTATGCATGTCATGTCAAGAAGTATCATTATGACCAAAACAGAACAATGTAACTCATAACTCTGTATAGAAAAACGGCTCTGTATGCCCATGTAAAACTTTTTTTAAAATTTGATTTAGTACAAAGAAATATCCGGAGGTCTGGTCTGGGCTTTAATCTGCGTAAGGCAGTCCCACGACTGTCAGGCAACGGAGCCCATTCACTCTGGCCTTCATTATCGCTCTCTTAACTTAGCAGCTAATATATGCACTCTCGCATGACGGTTCTTTTCATGATACTCTCTTAGGAGGCATTCAGTCAAATAATGCTTAGACGGAAGCAACAGGGAATAAAGGAAGCAGAATTTATCATCACATTCAATGATTTTAGTTTTAACTCTGAGGACTCCATCGTTGTCTCTCACTACCAACAGTCCGTAGACGGAATCTCCTTCTCTTGAAAGTGCTTCCTTTGCTCTAAACTCCACAAAAATGTTTCGGCGATAGTTTTTTCTTCTACTGTTATGGTATCCGAAGCATACGAGTGTTTTTTTTGGATGATAAAAGCATCTAAAAGAGTGCATTTCTTCAACTGTATTTGGTATAAGTTGTATTGTTATAAGTCTTCCAACTCTCAACAGGAGGGGGGGGGATGGTGGTAAAACTGTAGCGAACTAAAGCTGAGGTACAGTGAAAAATAAGTTAAATTATTGAACAGAATAAAATACTTAATAATACTTATTAATTTGGAACATTTAACACAAATTTAGAATTGTAAATTTTGATCGATTTAATTTAATCATAGGATACCATATTTTATTCACAATGTAAATCAATACTACGGTCCAATAGAAAATAGCATAAAATTATGAAACCCAAACTAGAAGGAATTAAATCGTTTTTTTATAAAAGTGTGTTACATTTGCTAAATTGATTGCTTTGATTATCTATACATGAAAGAAAAGCTATTGAAAGATTCCTGCTCCTTCAAGTCAGGTATATTTTTTTCCTTTTTCCAAATTTCCAATAAAAAATGTTAAAAATTAGCATAATATTTCAAAAATACTTGTTTCCGTTTATCATGCATATTCTATACTCCTTTAACGAGAGAATAGTAGATTTGATGCAATAAAGATAGCGATAAATTAAAAAGCGTAAGATTAATTGCATTATATCTGAATTTGAAGTTATTTGTTAGATCTGGATTCATTAATATTGCATATTAATAATTTGCATTTCTTAAACCGTATATAAACTGATACAAAACTAAATATGAAGTCAGCACGTGTACGTTCCAAATGAGAATTTTTATTTTTCCAACCTAGCCTAAATAAATCAGACAAAACTGATGAATGTATTTAATCCGTGTTATTAAAAAATTCTGAAAGCATAAATTATGCATGATAAAAAATATGATATTTATTCATGAGAATACACCGATAGAGGGATAACTAGAATAAATCAGTTTTTTTTTTGCAAACCATCATGAGAATACTTCTAAAAATACTCGCGAACATATACAACAACCAAATAAATTTTATATCCTCTCCCAAAAATGTATTCATAAAAATTATTCTTTCATTTTATTAGAAAATTTCTTTGACAAAATATGTCTTGTTAAGACATCAAACGACAATGTACTGACTATATACCGAATAATAATCGTAGAGTAAGAGAATAATTTAAATTGGATGTAGACTTAATAAAATACTGTAACTTTTTATGCAAGCTTACAAAAATAAAAATAAATAATTAAAAGCGTTGTAACGAATAATCGTACGTTTTGAAATATAGAAGTATCATCAGTCTACATATAAAGATAATATGTGCAATTTATTAGGAGTTATATTTATTTTGAATTTCATGATATTGATTATATATATATATATACAGTATATTGGAATAAGTTTATTTTAAAAATAAATTTGTGATACTGTTATATATGTATATATATATATATATAATGATATATATGATATATATATATTATATATATATATATAATGAAATAATTTCGCTCGTTGCAGTTAATTTGATATCAGAAAAGTGTTTGACTAGTAAAGACTCCAACAATTATTCTTCAGTGGTGTTTATTGAAGTTAGGTCACTGAAATTTCGATTACGCAGTAGAAGATGCCCGGAAGCGTTGAAGAATCACAACATCACTGAATTATCCAAATATAGCTTTAGTCTTTGTTGATTACTTTAATGGGAAATAACAGTGGGGATAATCTGCACCCCACAAATTTAGTGATTACTCAGTCCATTTTTAATCGAAGCGGCCAGGCTAGAGACTTTTTAACATAGCAAGCGTAGGCAGAGAAAGAGAGCGCGAAAACGGATTGTCACGGTATTTATAGTAGATATTTGGCAATTATAATAAAATGCGGCTTAAATTTGAAAGCAATACTATATGTATTTAGTTTTTACAATCATATATTTTTGTGCAATCTGCTGTTATTATCTTATTTATTTTCCTATTCGTTTTCATACAGCTGTATATTTTTCAAGGAAACAAGTATTATTGTCTTTGTATTGTACTTCAAAATTTTAGTTTAACTAATTAACATCAAAATGTAATTTTTTCATAACTTACCAGCTGGCATGATAGTGAAGATGCAAGGTTGTCTTTGAACTCCTATGCTATTTCTACCCCAACAACTCAAGGTACCGTAATCCATTTTGGATCTAGGGACGTAAGATGCAATGCTTCTTGTGGCTGAGCTTGTGAATGTGATGATATCTATCATTTCTGATGTATTGTTAAACATCCACCGAAACTGGATATCGTCGGGGTCTGCATCCACTTCACAGGTTACATTGATTTCTTCATGCTTAGCCACGCCATACATTCGCTTTTGGCCGGATATACAAACAGGAGAAACTGGAACAGGTTTATACATTTCAGATTAATAAATACTGCATCGAACTTCTAAGAAGCAAAGTGAGAAATTTCTTTTAAATTGTTCAGTAGAGGAGAAAACATTTTTATTATATTAAAACATATTTATAAGTTTTATAAATTAAGCATATATTATTTATCGGAGATTCATTTGACTTTTAGATAAATTAACATATTCCGAAATAAGACTCAGTAAACGTAACATGCATAATTATCGCCCAGACACATTTGTGGTAATGGGAGTTGCAATGTTTTATAACTTGATATTTTAACTTTGACAAAAGGAAATATTTCAATAAGTACTTTAAGAAATACATTATTCACTCAATTTCTGATATTCTTCGCATTAATTGCTTGCACGTCTCAAAAATTATATCTCGCATACGAAAAGTTTCATAAATTAAGCATATATTATTTACCGGTGATTCATTCGAGTTTTCAGCCCGAACACAAGGCGCTAATCTCTTTCGTACTTTCAGATGTTCTTTTCGATATCACCTCTAGTCAGATGTTCTATTTAAAAATTAAAAATATACTCTTTCCTAAATATTTATGTCTAAATATTCATTCTCGCAATTTTATTCAAAAACTATACTTAGATATTTTATCTAACTTTCAGGCAAAATAACATTTAAGGTAATAATGCATTTTACCTCATTTAGATAAACGGTAAACTTCAGAAATTTTTCTGCACCTTGTATTTTAAAGATAAAACTTCAAAGATAATACCACATTTTGTAATAAAATCAAGAGGAATCCTAAACTGAAACTAGAAAACACTATAGTAAATAATGTAGCATGAAATGTCCAAATCGTTTAGAGGGAAAAAACATGTAAAATAACTTCCTTTAGAAAATTGTAATGAAATTTAAGGATAATAAAAATCCTGCTTCTTTACTTATGGGTAAAATCTAGGTGAAAGATGGACAAATTAAACAGAAAGTTCAAAGCCATAATAGAAACAAAACTATATATACATATGAATTTAACAAACATTTTCTATTTGAATACAGCAAATTTTAATTTAAATTAAAATTTAAAAAAATTTTAATTGCATACAAATAAATGATTAATTATTGCTGCAAACTAATTTAAAATAGCATTTAAATTCTGAGAGCATATGTAAATTAAGTGGAAGTATCTAAAATTAAGAATAAATATATAATATTCCAAAACATTAATCCTATTTTTTTTAAGTCTAAATTAATTTGCATTAGTGAATAATTGTGGAGCAGGCAGGAAACAGAGAGCTTATCAAGGGAAGTTGCCTCTAAACCTTACTCTTCAATTACTCAATTCGTGTTTCGTCATCCATATAGGCATGGATATAGTAAAATTCAAAACCAAAGGTACATCAAATGTAGCGAATTACTAAAAAATGTTTTAAACAAAAGTAATTTTGAGAATTTTAGAAAGCAAATTGACTAAGAATCAAAAACAAATGTAAATTGCCAATTAAAAAAGAGTAGAAAACCAAAGTTTTCTAGAAAAAATAATTTAGAAACCTTTACCTATTTGAAAACTTCCCCGACACGAATTATACATGTAAATTAAAAATGAGCTATAGACAATCTATAAAAAATACATAAGTAATACTAAAAAGACAAGTAAATAGTAAGTTTTAATTTATCTTACCTTCTATACATTTGTATTTCGGAAAGTGGGATAGCATTTGCTAAACTAAGTGAGGTTGAGCAGTATGTTTCTGCTAACTGTATAAACAGAAGGCACTGATATAAGATAAAGTTGACTGTTAAGCTGCTACCTGGGAGATCTATTGTATAAACCTATTCTGTAAACTCTTAAGTGATGTAAAATGTGTGTTTTGTGTGCAAAAATGCTTCTAACTGTAAAGCACTGTAAAATGTGTAAAAAATTGAAAAAATTGCAACTGTTACGATTTGTTATCAGAAACATACTACTCAACCTCACTTAGTTTAGCAAATGCTACCCCAGTCTCCGAAATACAAATGTATAGAAGGTAAGTTAAATCAGAATTTACAATTTACTTGCCTTTTTAGTATTATTTATGTATATTTTATAGATTGTATATAGCTTATTTTTTATTTTCATGCATAATTCGTGTCGGAGAAGTTTTCAAATAAACAAAGGTTTCTAAATTACTTTGGTTTTTTACACTTTTCACATTGGCAATTTATATTTTTTGATTTAGTCGATTTGCTTTCTAAATTTTTCAAAATTCCTTTTGTTTAAAAAAAAGGTTTTAGTAATTCATTACATTTGATTTACTTTTGGTTTTGAATATTATTATACCAATGCCTATATGGATGACGAAACACGAATTGAATAATTGAAGAGTTAGGTTCGGAGGCAACTTCTACCTGATAAGATCTGTCTCCTGCCTGCTCAACAATTATTAACTAATTCAAATTAATTTAATCTTAAAAAACAAGAAAATAGTATCCAAAATATTAATCTTAAACGTTTTGGAAACATTTAAGATTAATGTTTGTTGTTTTAAAATTAAATTTAATGATTAATGTTAACATTAATCATTAAACATTAAATTAATTAACATTAATTTAAGATAAAGTTTGCTGTTTTTTAATCAAACTTAAAAAATAGTTTCCAAAACTTTAATTCTGAAATTTTTTTAAACACTTTTTTAGGATTAATGTTTTGGAATGTTAGATATTTATTCATGGTTTTAGATACTTCCACTTAATTTACATATGCTCTCAGAATTTAAATGATACTGTAAATTAGTTCGGAGCAATAATTAATAATTTATTTGTATGCAATTAAAATTTCACAATTTAAATTTAATTTAAATTTAAATTTGCTTTATTCGAATAGATAATGTTTGTTAAATTCAAATTCCATTCCTTGCAGCAATGGCGCAAGAGAATTATTTAAATTTAATTTAACTTTACTATTTATTCTTATAAAGCAATATATATATATAATTTTAGGTGTACTTAAATGTATTATATAAACGAGACCTGAACACTAAAATCGCGATTCATTTTTCCCGGTAAAAGTTGAAGCATACTGTAATGTTGCAAACGTATCTTTCTGACCTGGAAAGATTTATATAAATGCTTTGACATTTGTAAAACATGAATAAAATATAAACAAAGAGAATTATAAAATATGGCTACATATCGATGCACGAAAAAATTCTTCGATTTTGAGCTCTTTATTTTCAGATGTAGTAATTGTAAAGAATCAACTTTGCAGAAAGAGGAGCATTTTTAATCCTACAAAATGCGGTGCGCGTGATTTAGACCAAACGATCAAAAAATAATATTAAGTAAAATCTGCTTTCCGATATTAGACGAAGTCATTTTATGATACTTTGTTTCTAAGGTACTAAATACGTCAATTATCTGCAAGAAAATTAGTTACATAAACTAGAATTTCAGAAGAAACTTCTGAAACTTTGAGAATCAACTTCACAAAAATGTTTTTGGAGCGGAACGTTTTTCTTACCTCACACTTTTAATTAGTTTATTGGTTTATTTTATTATGGAAAAGCATTCGATGGCTATATGTCTATGAGGAAGGCTGTCTTTGTGGAGGACGTTCTAAGGGTAGCTGGCAACATTGCACATGGAAAAATGAAACGACAAAAACAACCAGCCCTTTCGCCGATATTTAAATCCCAAAACAAACTGCCAGTGTTTAGCGACTTTACCACTAAGCTACTGGTGGGCGAGTACATTTTTTTAAGCAGTAACATGCAGAGAAGGCGCTTCAGAAATCCTTGCAATCATATATAGGAGAATGTTATGCTCATTTACAAAAAGCATAATCCCAAAAGTGTGTCTTCCGTATAACAAAATTGAGAGAGATACACAGTTTTAAAGTGTGATAGCATATTCAGCCGTATACAAACTGAAAAGTGAAATTTTTGCATGTGTACGTAACTACAAATAATATACACTGGTGTGCAAAAATTAAGGACGAAGTCGAAAAATTAGCATATCAGCTGAACGAAGAGGCAGAGCGGACAGAAAGACCAATCAGGAGATTAAGTAAGGTGATGTACGGTAGCACATGCGCAGATATGCAGTAGACGTAATGGGGAGAGTGTCTGAGTAGTATAAAGCATGTTGTCGGTTGTAATTGTAAGATCATTCTGGCAAAGAGATTGCACGCCGTATAGCAGTTAAAATCACACCGAGTTGCTGTCTCAGCGAGAAATGACGAATAATCAATCTGTTAGACGACATCTGGATGCTTTTACCCGAGGTTCGAATCATTGGGAAGTTGGAGGTGGAAGGCCGCAGTGTGACAAATGTGGCTGCAGAGTTCGGAATTGCTCACAGCATCGTTTCACGACTTTGGAGACAATTTCAAACTACAGGAAACAGCTATCCGGGGGTTTAGTAGTGGTCGTCCACGAGGAACCACACCCGCAGATGACCGGTATATTGCCTTACAGGCCAGACGAAACAGGCGGCAGACAGCGGGAGAAATCGCTAGACGCACGACACAGGCGACTGGAAGACCGATATCGCGTTTTACCGTGGCCAGAAGACTGCATGGTGGTGGTCTGTTTGCACGACGCCCTGTACGGTGTGTACCTCTAATGCCTGCCCATCGGAGAAGGCGTTCTCTGTGGTGCCGGGAACACCGGAATTGGAGAGACAATGAATGGGGACGAGTACTCTTTACAGATGAGAGCAGATTCAGTCTGAGTAGCGATTCTTATTGGATACTCATCTGGAGATAGCGGGGAAGTCGCAATCATCCCTCGAACATCATTGAAAGGGACAGGTAGGGAGGTGGCGGTGTTCTCGTTTGGAGAGACATCATGCTTGGTAGTCGTACAGACCTTCACATCTTCGACGCAGGTTCACTCAACGGGACCCGTTATTGTAACGAGGTTCTTCTTCCATATGTGCGTCTTTTTAGAGGCGCTATGGGTCCGCAGTTCCTTTTCATAGACGACAATGCACCATGTCATCGCACAGTAGCTGCCGAACAGCTCTTAGAGAGTGAGGATATTGAACGTA